GTGATGAGTTTTGAGGGGATGACTGTGTTGAATGCTGAACTAAAATCTATGAACAGCATCCGGGCATAGGTGTTTTTGTTATCCAAGTGTGAGAGAACAGAGTGCAGCGCTATGGAGACTGCATCCTCTGTGCTCCTTTTCTGGCTGTATGCAAATTGGTGGGGGTCCAGGGTGGGGGGAGACAGGATTTGAGGTGTACTAAGACCAGCTGCTCAAAACACTTTGTGATGATGAAGGTGATGGCTACCGGACGGTAGTCATTGAGTCTTGATGGTTTTGAGTTTTTGGGTATCGGGATGATGCAGGTGGTGTTGAAGCAGGTCGGTACCACAGCACGGGCCAAGGACAGGTTGAATATGTCCGTCAGTACTCCTGACAGCTCCCCAGAGCATGCTCTAAGAACACGTCCATGGATACCATCAGGACCCGCAGCCTTGTGAATTTTAATCCTGCTCAGAGCCGCTCCTACATAGTTGGGGAAAAGAGTCAGTGGCTAGTGGTCTGGAGACACATCTACCTTAGTTGTAGTTGTTGGGTTCCCTCTCTCAAAACGAGCACAGAAATTGTTGAGCTCATTGAGGAAGGAGACATCAGAGGAGATGGGGGAGGGGTTGATGGCACTGTAATCTGTAATGATATGGAGTCCTTGCCACATATGTGGGGGGTTGGAATTTGAGAAGTGTTCTTCTATCCTCCCCTTGTAGTGGTGTTTGGCCTTTTTGATGCCCCTCTTCAGCTCAGCCCTGGCTGTACTGTAGGCCTGTGTATCCCCTGACCTGAAGGCGATATTGCGGGCCTTCAGCAGTAGATGTACATCCTGATTCATCCAAGGCTTCTGGTTGGGGTACATGGTGATCCGTTTCTGGGTGGTGACGCTGTCTATAGTGGTGGAGATGTGGTCCAGCACAGATGAGGCGTACTGTTCCAAGTCTGTGTGAGTGAACATATTCCAATCAGTGTTTTTGAACCGGTCCTTTGTGAACAAGATTCCAAAAGACTTGAACTCCTCCACTTGGGGCAGGACCTCCTCCCTGACCCGAAGAAGGCACTCTACCCTTTTCCGGCTCAAGACCATGTCCTCGGATTTGGAGGAACTGATCCTCATCCCAGCCGTGTTGCACTCGGCTGCGAACCGCTCCAGCGAAAACTGTACTGTAGATCACGATCTGATGAAGCCAATAGGACCACATCATCTGCAAAAAACAGAGAAGCAATCCTAAGGCCACCAAAACGGATCCTCTCAACACCTTGGCTGCACCTAGAAATTCTGTCCATAAAAGTTATGAACAGAATCAGTGACAAAGGGCAACCTTGGCAGAGTCTAACTCTCACCAGGAACAAGCCTGACTTACTGCCGGCAATGCGGACCAGGCTCTGACACCGGTCATACAGGGACCTAACAGTCCGTATCAAAGGGCCAGGTACCCCATACTCCCAGAGTACCCCCTACAGGGTTCCCAGAGGGATGCGGTCGAGCGCCTTCTCCAAGTCCACAAAGCACATGTAGACTGGTTGGGCAAACTCCCACGCACCATCCAGGACCCTGCTGAGAGTGTAGAGCTGGTCCAGTGTTCCATGACCAGGACGAGAACTGCACTGCTCCTCCTGAATCCGAGGTTCGACTATCCGACGGACCCTCCTCTCCAGAACCCCCAAATAGACTTTACCAGGGAGACTTAAGAGCGTGATCCCCCTGTAGTTGGAACACACTCTACGGTCCCCCAGTTTGAATAGAGGGACCACCACCCCAGTCTGCCAATCCAGGGAAACTTCCCCCGATGTCCACGTAATATTGCAGAGTCGCGTAAGCCAACATAACCCTACAACATCCAGAGCCTCAAGGAACTCCGGGCGAATCTCATCCACCCCTGGGGCTTGCCACAGAGAAGATTTTTAACCACCTCGGTGACCTCAGAACCAGAGATTGGAGGGCCTGACCCAGAGTCCCCAGGCTTCGCTTCCTCAGTGGAAGACGTGACGGTGGGATTGAGGAGGTGTTCAAAGTATTCTGCCCGACAGCATCCCTCATCACTGGTGTCCACCACCGGGTTCGAGGGTTGCCGCCACGACAACCTTGCGGCCGCCTCGACAATAGAGACTCCAAAAAGGGTGGATAATCTGAACTGCCGTTTGGTGCATAAGCACAAACGACAGTCAGAACCTGTCCTCCCACACGTAGGCCAAGGGAGGCCACTTGCTCATTCACCGGGGTGAACCCCAACGCACAGGCACCAAGATGGGGGGCAATAAGTATGCCCACTCCTGCTCGGCGCCTCTCACCAGGGACAACTCCAGAGTGGAAGAGTGTCCAACCCCTCTCAAAGAAACTGGTTCCAGAGCCAGAGCCATGCATAGAGGTGAATCCGACTATTTCTAGCCGGAATCTCTCAACCTCACACACCAGCTCAGGCTCCTTCCCCACCAGTGAGGTGACATTCCACGTCCCAATTGCCAGCTTCTGTAGCCGAGGATCAGACCGCCAGGGTCCCTGCCCTCAGCCACCACCCATCCCACATTGCACCCGACCCCTTTGGCCCCTCCCACAGGTGGTGAGCCCATGGGAAGGGGGACCAGTGTTGCCAGGTGTACGATAATTATTGTATTTGTACGACAATTTTGCCCTCTGTACAATGTATGATCAATAATCCCAAAAAAGCCCAAATATACGATAATTTGACCATTCCATGAATGTGTGGTTGTAATCGGTTGTCATCAGCCTGTCGCAACTGTCTGTCGGAATTTTTTTTGTGAACCCTGAAGGCATCTGTGTCCGCAAACAGATGCACAATTAGCTGGAAATTCCAGCCAATTGTGATTTTCTAAATGTTACCTACAAGTGACGTATTTGCGTTTGCCTCAGAACAACGGCCATGATTGGATGAATAGTCCGCTGCGCCTGCCCCATGAGGGAGGAAAATAAAAAAATAAAAGATGAAGCAGAGCTGGTCTGGAAGCGGACCCATCACTGCTATAGTGCATTAATAGATTTGTTATTTTAGTTATGAAGGGGGTACGATAATTTCCCTCAAAATACGATAATTTTATGTCTCTAGTACGATAATCCAACATTTCTCACCTGGCAACAATGAGGGGGACCTACGTCTCCTCTTCGGGCTGTGCCCGGCCGAGCTCCATGGGTAAAAGCCACCAGGCGCTCGCCCGCGTGCCCCACCTCTAGGCCTGGCTCCAAAGTGGGGCCCCGGTGACCCACGTCTGGGCAAGGGAACATCAAGTCCATTTCTTTTTCTCATTATAGGGGTGGTTGGGCTGCACTTTGTCTGGTCCCTCACCTAGGACCTGTCTGCTTTGGTTGACACTACTAGGGGCGTGAAGCCCCTGACAGCATCGCTCCTAGGATCATTGGGACACTCAAACCTCTCCACCACGGTAAGGTGACAGCCCAGGGAGGGGCAGAAAGAGTACATGATGTAAAATGTATTTTTGTTATATTATCGTGGGATATGGTTGTCGTCCCTTGAAAATGAGATCTGTAATCTCAGTGGGATTATAAAATGATAATAACGCTTATTAATCACGATGATGTTTTAATTATGTCATTATCTTGAGACCACCAAGCTTGTATTCTTTGGATAATAGACTAATATTTTGATATCTTGATTTAGAAAAACACCCCGCCCCTCGCACAGTGATTGCTGGACATGGGCACCAGCGACCCCCGTGACCCAAAATGGAATAAGCGGGTAAAGATAATGGATGGATGGATGGATTTAGAAAAACTTGTTTTCTGATGATGGCTTGAAATGGTTTGATAAATAAGAAGCTGTACTTGATCATCAGAATTCAAATCTGACATGCTGGTTATTAATTAAAGTGTTGCATGATATCTGTACCATCCTGATTTTTTTTCACTTATTAATTTTCTCACACAAGAATGTCAAGTAAAACACAATTGAGTTAAATAAATTAGATATTTATTTTATGGCTTAAATGACTCTGTTTTACATAAATTTAACTTTGTTTCCATCGAAGATGTTGAAAACCTTAGACTCATGTTGTACAGATGCACCAGACAACAAGTTGCTCCACTAACAGCAAAAAGAAACAACGATTCATATTGTAGTGTTTAAAATGTTGCATCCCTGTGAGCTTTCTAAGTTCAGAGTTTTCAAGCTTTTAGGACTCTCAGGAAGTCACTGGCACAAAACTACAGGAACTTTATTTTGTCTGTGCTTTTTTTATGGATGTATCATTGCACAAAGAAATGTTGACTAATACAGAAAGAGCTGTTGTTTTACATTATAATTCAAAATATAACTTTAAATTATATTTTCCATTAAAACATTCAAAGAAGAACTTTAATAAACATAGTCTGATTGTTTCTGGCAACAAGAGAAGTGCCTTATAAAATAGATTGGAATATTTATTCTTCATCATGTTTATCCCCCAAGACACATCTTAAAGCAATATGGGGTTTAGTGAAAAAACTATGTCCGTCCATCCATCCATCCATCCATCCGTCCGTCCGTCCCTCCGTCCGTCCGTCCGTCCGTCCGTCCGTCCGTCCGTCCGTCCGTCCGTCCGTCCGTCCATCCATCCATCCATCCATCCATACACACATCCATCCATCCATCCATCCATCCATCCATCCATCCATCCATCCATCCATCCATCCATCCATCCATCCATCTTTTACCTGCTTCTTCCATTCCGGGTCACGGGGGTCACTGGCAGAGTGGCGCCCATGTCCAGCTATCACTCTGAGAGATGCGGGGGACACCCTGGACAGGTCTCCAGTCCATCACAGGGACAAATAGAGACAAACGAGACGAACAACCATTCACTCTCTCACTCACACCTAGGGACAATTTAGAGTTACCAATCAGACTAACATGTATGTTTTTGTTCTGTGGGAGGAAACTGGAGTACCTTGAGAAAACCCACACATGCACGGACAAAACATGCAAACTCCACCTAGAAAGGTGCCGGGCCGGGATTTGAACTGGCGACCTTCTTGCTGAGAGGCAACAACTCTACCAACTGAGCCTCAGTGCTGCCCAGGTTATAAACACTTAATGTAATATCTTACCTGTTGTAAAGCATAGATACTGTAGTTCTTCAACTTCAATTTGGAGAAATGGTTAAAAAATTAATTTCAAGCTAAAAACTACAATAAAAAAAGGAGAAAGCAATAATAAAAACATTAGCTTGAATTGCTAACAATAGTTAGCTTTTTAGCTAAGCACACCATGTAGCAAATCTGAGCTGCAACTCATTTTATTGCAGTCTCACATCAAGTCCAGATCAGAGTTTTGACTTCTAACACAAATGTAACACTGTATTTCAGTCTGTTTCTCCAAACTGAGGTTGTTCAAAAAGCTATCTCCAACAGGTAAGACACTATTTGTTCATAACTTTTCTAACGATTCCCACTTCAATAGATAAAAACTAAATAAATAAATAAATAAGTATGTTTTTTAATTCTTGGTTTTGTCATAGATGTCCTAATTTCCCCCACTTTCTTGTGCATTCTTGACACCGCATGGACATAATGTTTTTTTTTTCAATATAAAGGCTGAGCTCCAAAGCAGATAATAAGACAATAAAACAGACAAACTCACTACATTTGACCAAAGTAATATAAACTGTTTGACATAGAACAACAAGCTTTAGACAACAGACGACAGCCAGTTCGACACAAAACTACACAAATCACTGAATCCATGAAATTCAGAACATTTGACGTCTCCCAACCACCGCATGTTCAAGTTACCACACGTGTCCTTATACGCACACAACTATCAGGCGAATCAAGCAAAAACACGCAGGTAAAAATCTCTTTCAAACACATGCACTTCCATTTTGGAGAAATAAAAAAAGAGAAGACCGAAAAATAAACATTCCAGCTTCTTGAGCGCATGGCTGTTTGAAGAGCGGCGCTGTAATGCAGGAGCATCTTCATCTTTAAACAGTCTTCATGACGCAGCTGAAACAGATGCGTCAACACTCCAGGGCCCGTCAGAATGATCACTTTGTGTTGGTGAAACTCAGCAGGAAGGCTGTAAGCATTCCACTCCAGTCCTTTCATTAGTGCCACTGCAGGAGGTTCTGGTTGGATCCAGAGCTCAGAACATTTAGAGGAGGAGTGACTGGATGTACTGCACATATGCACCCATGCACACACACACAGACCAAGCCCTCTGCTATTTTTTCTTCATGTTTTTTGTCTCCTTCATTTCCATTTGTCCTACATCACATTTTCAAACAGCTGCATGGATCTCATCATATTTTCATCCTGGTGAGAAAGAAGATAAAACAATGGATTACACTGTCAGCACTGCAGGGCTGTTCAATCTGTCTGAAGCTCTCATGCAGGGGATGGAATCATAGAAAAGATTTGTTGAGTCTACCATGTTCTGCAAAAGTGAAGGGAATGCATACCTCTTGGCAGGCTATAATAAACTCCTCCATAGTCACAACTCCATCTTTATTCTTGTCCATTTTCTGCAGGGGAAAAAAAACAAACAGAAAGAATTTTAACTGTACATCCTTAATTGCCCTTTTTATGCAGGAGTTTAAAACTAAGATAATCTTATGTTAAGAAATGATGAGTTAGAGTCAGTTTAGTCCAGGTGTGTGAGGTACATGACCTAAATAAAAGATAATTTGCCTCATAAAGTAGTCCCTCCTTAATATTATGTAAATTATGTCAAAATTTTATGTCACTACCGTACCATCATAATTCAATTCATCTCATTGTTACTCACTACCTGTGCAATAACCTGCCACACAACCCCTGTAGCAGATGGTATGTGTATCATGCACATTATCAGAGTCAGAGTTTCTTTATTGTCATTCGCACCTCATGTGGTACATGTGGTGGAGCGAAATTATGTACACAGGGTCCCAGTTACATCCAACAATAAAATGTATAAGAAAAACAGTAATAACATCTAAGATGTGAACTAAGAAAAACATCAACTAAATATACACTAAGCACTCATAACATAAAACATTGAACATCAGCACAAACATGAACATGAGTCTGTGAGCAGATGTGCACGCATGAACACATCAACATTAAAACAGATCAGCAGCAACATGAAACAGATCAGCAGCAACATGATATGGTTTTTCACAGTGATTATTCTAGTTAGAGATTCATGAGTCTAACAGCCTCAGGGTAGAAGCTGTTCCTCAGTCTAGTGGTTCTACACTTAATGCTCCTTAACCTCCTTCCTGAGGGGAGTGGGGCAAAAAGTGTGTGTGCTGGGTGAGTGGGGTCCTTCATGATGCAGGTGGCCATCTTCCTGCATCTGGAGGTGTAGATGTCTGTGATGGTGGGGAGGCTGATTCAGACAGATTTCTGTGCAGCCTTCACCACTCTCTGCAAAGCTTTTCTTTTTGCAGCTGTGCAGCCTCCATGCCACACGTTGATGCTGGAGCACAGGATGCTCTCCACTGCACACCTGTAGAAGGAGGTGAGGACTGAGCTTCCCAGACCAGCTCGCCTCAGCCGTCTGAGGAAGTAGAGTCTCTGACGAGCTTTCTTGATCAGGCTGGTGGTGTTGTTGCTCCAGCTGAGGTTGTCATTCATGTGTACACCCAAGTACTTGTAGATGGAGACCACTTCCACCGCAGATACTCTTATGTTCAGGGGGGTGTAGGTGTTTTTGTTCCTTCTGAAGTCCACAATCATCTCCTTTGTCTTCTTCACATTGATGTGAAGGTTATTCTCTCTGCACCAGCTCTCCAGGTGTTCCACCTCTTGCCTGTAGCTGGACTCATCATTGTTTGTGATGCATCCCACCACCGCTGTATCATCTGCAAACTTTACAATGTGACAGCCTGGATGGGTAGCTGCACAATCATACGTGAGCAGAGTAAACAGGAGGGGGCTCAACACACATCCCTGAGGAGAGCCAGTGCTGAGGGTTATGGTGGAGGAGGAGAGGTTGTGGATCCTCACTAACTGTGGTCTGTTTGTTAAAAAGTCTAGTACCCAGTTGCAAATGGAGGGGCTTAGTCCTAGTGTGGATAGTTTGTCCATCAGGGTTTGGGTGATCATGGTGTTGAAGGCGGATGTGAAGTCCACAAAGAGCATACGGACGTAAGAGTTTTTCTCCTCCAGGTGGTTGAGTGCAGTGTGGACCACAGAGGAGATTGCATCCTCTGTTGTTCGGTTCTCATGGTATGCATACTGATGAGGGTCCTCGTTGATGTTGATGGTTGTTTTGATGTGAGTCATGACCAGTTTTTCAAAGCATTTAGCAACTATCGGGGTGAGGGCCACTGGCCGATAGTCATTCAGACCAGTCACTGTAGAGCTTTTTGGGACTGGGATGATGGTGGCAGTCTTCAGGCAGGTGGGAACTGTCTCCAGGGTAAGTGAGGTGTTAAAGATGTCTGCCAGCACCTCACAGAGCTGATCAGCACATTCCTTCAACACTTTTCCGAGGATGTTGTCTGGGCCAGTTGCTTTGTGCGGATTAATCCTCCTGAAGGTACTCCTTACTTCTGCTGAGGTCACGCTGAGATGCTCTTCGTCCGGTGGTGAGATGAGTCTGGTGCTGGGTGGTCTGTTCGGGTCTTCAAAGCGTGCATAGAACTTGTTGAGGGCATCAGGCAGAGATGGGTCTTTGGGGCATTGTTCACTCCTTCCTTTTGTTGTTGTTTACTGTATTTCTTTTGGACCTTGTTAATATTACATTTCTTTTTCACTTTTTGGTTCTTTATTTTGTACTTTTATTGCATGCTTTAGTATTTCTTTTCTTTTTTCTTTTTCTTGGCGAGTTGAATCAGTTCTTCTCATCCTGAACATTTCATTGCATTTTTGACCTTGTGTTAGTCTGCACATGACAAATAAACAAACATAGCATACATTACCTAATGACTTAGCTTGCTGTGTTGTTTTGTTCTGTGTGATTTCCCACTGTTTGGGCAATTCAATTATTATTATTTTTTTAATATATTTTTTGATTCATACTCAGAAATTAACTTATTTGCAGTCATAGGTTGGGACAGGTCACCGCCTCTTCAGACAGTATATTTATCAAACTGCTGTGTTAGCATTGACTGGACAGGCAGGCGGCTCCAATAGTTGTTTGTGGTATAAATGAGCCCCATGGACACATTCTCTTGATTTTAGCTTGTTGAAATATCCACTGTTAACACTAGATCTCACAGGATTTTATCAAATGCTGAAGTACATAGTTTGCAGCAAAGCCTGCTGTGTCCAACAGTGGAGAGTTTCTGTTTAAAAATCCATTTCTGAGAATAAATTTGAAGGATCTTATTGAACTTGAAATGTAGATTTTGAATATAACCACTGGTGCTTTCAATCAAAGGAGTGAATGCATGCACCTTTTATTCAGTTTTATATATTTTTTAGAATTATGTCATTGAAGTGTTTTTATTTTTTCCCCATTTAACTTCATTAATCTGGAGAATTATCATAGAATTATTACTTTAAATCAAATTAGAAATTGAATCCAGAAGTCTGTTTGTTATATTTAACCCAGTTCAAAACTAGATACTCGAAATATAAAAAACGAGATACGACCTAAACCTGCATGACGGAGAAAAACGGTGACAAATTGTGCACACTCTTGCAACAAATCAAATACAAGGCAACATACGTCCGATCGTTCTCACAAAAAATTAACACAAACTGTAAACTTATAGTTAGTGATTCAGGAAATAAATGTATGCCCTACAAATATTTATACAAAGGAGCTGCTACTGACTTGGACAAACTTTGTAAAATAAATTCTTCTCATTTGATCATTTATTAGCTCTCAAGTTATGAATGACAGCTACTATGTCTCATTTTAGCTAAAATTTGTAAAATTGAGTGAGTTACAGCCATTTTTGTGTTAGCTAATGTCACTCAGCTATAATGACTATCTTGAACAGAGATTTTTTTATTTTACCCCCTTTATTTTTACAGGTAGTCTCTTTGTGTCACGAGGACTCATTTTCAAGAGAGACCTGATTTGGGAGCAGGTGGGGGTTAAGAGCCTTGCTCAAGGAGTGGGGCAAATGAGGGTGGAGACTGGTGTGGCTGCTTCACCTTTTCCACCCACATTTTGATGTTGTCAGTTTAGGGAGTCGAACCGCCAACCTTCCGATCACAGGCTCACCTTTTTCAACCTCTGCACCACCATTCCCATACTCCAAAAGTTGATCAGTTGTAAATATAAATCCAATAATTACGTTCTAATAATTTAAAATCTATTCTTTAGTTCATGATGTGTTTGGCTAACAGACACAAGGTTGATCTAAACAACTATTGACAAAGTTTTAAGCAAAAATGCTTCAGCATGAAAAGCCCTCAAAGTAAGTGTTGGGGATTATTTGAGATTTCTACCACGCTAGTTTTTATCTGTGAAACTAATTAAATTATGAACCATTGTGTTTTCTAATCTTGCTTAGCTGTGACAGCCATTTTGACTTCTCTCCGAAAGCTAATCTGCACATATCCATTGACTGCTTTCTTAAAAATGAATCAAAATCCATCTAGTGGTGCATGAGATATTTTGCCAACACACAAACACAAGCAAAAGTGTTTGCTTTCCAGTGGCAAGCAATTAAAGACAATAATTTACCTGAAACAAAGTATTTGCGGATTATTTTAAAATGGGTCGACGTAACCTAAAAGACTTGTAAAATTAAAAAATAAACTAGATAAGTTGCACTTCCTTCAAAAGTGCAGTGTGAATGCATATTGCATAATAACTTCTTGAAAAACAGATGAAATTATCTAAAAAAAATGCTGAATCTAGCTGAAACAGCAGCACGAGCTTAAAGTCTCAAAAGAAAGCAGAAAGAACACATTTGCTGAATTAGGTTTAAATAAGTAGAAATGAGCACAATGTGAAGAAATGAGCTTAAAAACGCTGAAAAGAGCATAAAAATAGCTGAAAAGTAGCTGAAAAGGCCAAATGAAGCATAAGGAAGGAGAAAGAGTTGAATTGAGCGCAAAACGTGGAATTACTTGAAAAAGGTAAAATTAGCATAAAAACAGCTAAAAAAAGTAGCTGGAATTGCAAAAACATGCATCAAAATGTTTAAAAGAGTATAGTAACTAAATTTAGCATAAATAAGTTAATTAGGCGGAACGTATCAGAAATTACCACGGGAAACTTGGTAAAGTAGCTAAAAAGGCAAAAAGAAGATTAAATTATGAGAAGTAAGTGGAGAGAGCACATTTGTGCTGAACTGGGCTTAAAAAAGTTCAAATGAGCGAAAAATTGTGGAATTAGCTGAAAAAGCTCAAAATAGCATGAAACGGCTGAAATAGTAGAAAAAGTTGAAATTTACAGAAATCATCTGAAAGAAACATAACAAGCTGAAATTAGCAGAAAGAAGTTAGAAGTACAAAAATGTTTTAGTTAGCATGAAAGAATCTGAAAGGAGAAAAAAAAACAGCTGAAAACAGCTAAAAGTAGCTGAAAAAAGTTTACATTTGCACAAGGGAGCTGAAAGAAGCTGAAGCAGAACAAAATTTGAAAGGAGCAGTAAAAGGTTGTTAACAGTTCTAAAGATATGAAGGATGTAAAATGAGATCAAATAATTTTCTATCAGGAAAAAACATCAGAAAAGGCTAAATATTTGAAAAAGCTACAGTTGCACCAGTACCAAAAGTCATAGCACCCTTCTCTGGAAGGAGCTGAACATTTTGATATCTAAATTTCTGAAATAACTTAAAAACTGTGGGACGAGAATCGCTATGAAAAACGTATGGAAGAAAAATGGGTCACAATGGTGTGAAGGCTTCATAAACATTCACACAATAAAATCAAAAACAGAGAGGTTTGTAAGATGAACTACACAGTTACAACAACATACATGTTGACATCATCTGTTTGTGTTAATGCAAGGTGCAGGAGATGAACCTGGAAGAAGGCATCCACGTGCTGCTGGGGGATGTCGCCCTTTATTGCAGGGTAGGTGTACTTGCCCATCATGTCATAAATGGCTCTCACGATCTCTGTCATTTCCTGGAAGAACACACAAGTCATCTTCTGCAGAGACAACGAGCCAAGCTGACGCTTTAAACGCTGTTCGCACCTCTCTGTTTATGTATCCATCTCTGTTGATGTCATAAAGATGAAACGTCCACTCCAGCTTTTCCCTCAGAGTGCCCCTCAGCAGAATAGATAAGCCCATCACAAAGTCCTGTCAACAGGAACAGCGCTGAGTCAGCATGAATGTGCAAGAGAGAGGATTAAAGTCATTTTATGATTAGTTTTTACCTTAAATTTAATAGAGCCGTTGTTCGTGGTGTCAAATGCATTGAAGAGATAATGTGCGTACATGCTGGCATCTGCAACAACAACCAAGCAAACGTGTGAGGACACCTGTTCAGAACCTCATAGAAAGTAGAAAACAGAGCTTTTTATACCTCCGTGAGGGAAGAACTGTGCGTAAATGTGTTTAAATGTCTCCTCATTTACCACTCCACTGGGACATTCCTGTGGAAAAAATGCTTCATCAATAATTTTCTGCTTTTGTTGAAAGAAAACATAAAGTAAAGTGATCAGGGAGTGAAATCAGAACATTACATTCTTAAAACCGCGATAGAGGATCTGCAGCTCCTGCTTGGTGAAGTTGGTCTGCGCTTCCAGCTGCTCAAGACCTTCTGGCCTGTGACACACCATGGTCATCTCGAGTTCTTCATCTGTTTTATCTGCAGTAGACGGAAAAGACAGAAAGGAGTCTTGTTTAACATGCACTCCATGTTTGCTGGAAGATGAAAACAGTGAGACGCATTGAAACGAACAGCTCAGCAAAGCTTGAGGATGTGAAGTTGGTAGAAAACGTCCAAAATCTGATTAGACGGCAGGAAAAATAATGCTCTCGGAGGTGATGTGAAGTAGAAAAAACAAGTAGAGATGAGGATAAAGAGGAAAAGGATGATTCAAGTAGAGCTGCATGCTCATGAAAAATGACACTACCGCACCACAGGAGCTGAAGCGTTTTGTTAACGGGAGGATGGCGCTGAGTGCCGGGTGCAGTGGAGATGGATGGTGGTTAATGATGTGAGGAGAGGCCTCCGCTGTGGGCCTGAGTTTGTCACTGTCACGATCTTTGGATGCAGGTCAGAGCTTACTGCGGTGGGCACCAAACCACACATCAGTGAGCTCAGGCAGCAGCAGATACATATGAAAGACACCGAAGGGAGAATTCAGGTCTTTTCATGTGAGGATCAGTGAAAAGTTATGAACAATTATTATTTTTTAAATTGTATTTAGCTCTGTGGAAACACCAAGTTAGGAGATATGGGGATAAGTTCTGACTGAACTGATGAGCTAAAGTCCAGTTTGAGCATGGCAACGACCATCCATCCATCCATCCATCCATCCATCCATCCATCCATCCATCCATCCATCCATCCATCCATCCATCCATCCATCCATCCATCCATCCATCCATCCATCCATCCAACCATCCATCCATACATTCTCTTCCGCTTATCCAGGGTCGGGTCGTGGGGGTAGCAGCCTAAGTAGGGAGGCCCAGACTTCCCTCTCCCCAGCCACTTGGGCCAGCTCCTCCGGGGGACTCCCAAGGCATTCCCAGGCCAGCCGAGAAACATAGTCCCTCCAGCGTGTCCTGGGTCTTCCTATGGGTCTCCTCCCAGTGGGACGTGCCCGGAACACCTCACCAGGGAGGTGTCCAGGAGGCATCCTAACCAGATGCCCGAGCCACCTCAACTGGCTCCTCTCGACATGGAGAAGCAGCGGCTCTACTCTGAGTCCCTCCCGGATGACCGAGCTTCTCACTCTATCTCTAAGGGAGAGCCCAGACACCCTGCAGAGAGAACTAATTTCAGCCGCCTGTATCCGTGATCTCGTTCTTTCTGTCACAACCCAAAGCTCATAACCATAGATGAGGGTAGGAATGTAGATTGACTGGTAAATTGAGAGCTTTGCCTTTTGACTCAGCTCTCTCTTCACCACAACAGACCTGTACATAGCTCACTTCACTGCCGACGCTGCACCTATCCGCCTATCGATCTCATACTCCATTTTTCCCTCATTCGTGAACAAGACCCCGAGATACTTAAACTCCTCCACTTGGGGCAGGACCTCCTCCCCGACCCAGAGAGGGCACACTACCCTTTTCCGGCTCAAAACCATGGCCTCGGATTTGGAGGAACTGATCCTCATCCTGGCCACGTCACACTCGGCTGCAAACCGCTCCAGCGAAAGCTGTAGATCAGGATCTGATGAAGCTAATAGGACCACATCATCTGCAAAAAACAGAGAAGCGATCCTAAGGCCACCAAAACAGATCCCCTCAACACCTTGGCTGCACCTAGAAATTCTGTCCATAAAAGTTATGAACAGAATCGTTGACAAAGGGCCACCTTGATAGAGTCCAACTCTCCCTGGGAATGAGCCCGACTTACTTGGCAAAGACCATGGTGGATTAAATAACTCCAGTCTCAAACATTTCAGAGCAGTTCATGCCTCTGCTATTGTAAAACCTTTTACATTGTTGTTAATATCACATCAATAGATAGCCACAGAAGTTCATTGATAGAACCACATTTAAGTTCACTTCAGGTGGGTCGTTCCTCCCAATCACTCTCTTCCAGAAAACTCTGTCATTTCCTACTTGGGCATTGAAATCACCTAGTGGAACAAGGGAATCCACAGACGGCATCCCCCCAGGAAGGCTGGGTAATCTGAACTACTATTTGGTGCATTAGCACAAACAACAGCAATAACCATTGGTCCTGCATCCCAAAGCCATGGGTGGAAAAAACAGAAAGATGTCTTGTTCAACATGTGGTCTTCCTTGTTTGTTGGAAGATAAAGACTATAAGAAATTGCTCACTGGGGAAAACTCCATCATAGAGGCATTCAGCCAGGGGCTTGTGAGTAAATCCATACCTGCCCAACACCTCTCTCCTTGGGCAACTCCTGAGAAGTAGAGAGTCCAGCCTCTCTCTGGGAGTTGGGTTCCCGAGGAGAAGCTGTGTGTAGAGGTGAGTCCAACTATATAGCTAAAATTGATCAACCTCACACACAAGCTCATGCTCCTTACCTACCAGAGGTGACATCCCATGCCCTTTGAGCCACCAGGAATCAGGATGGCCAGAAGCCTTCCCTCGCTTGCTGCCTGGCATGCATTGCACCCGAACTTGATGGTCCACCCCACATGTGGAGGTGGTACCCAGTCTTTCTTTTGGGCTTAGGCTGGCTGAGACCCAAGTGCCAAGGCTCGACCACCATGTGAGCACCGGCAAGCTCCCCTTCTCAGGCCTGGCTCCAGGGTGGTGACCCAGTTTCCACATTTTGACCGAGGTTTCCTGATGCACATGTTGTTTGTCTATAAAGGATTTTGAATTGCTCTTAGTCTGACCACACCCCTGAGGTCTCTTTGCTGTGGGAGACCCAGCCAGGGGCTGTTGCCAAAGACAACATAGCCTCCAGAATCACTGGGGTACACAAACCCCTCCACCATGTTAACGTGGCAGTTCTGCTGATTTTGAGTCAAGGAGCTTGGAGTAGAGTCTCCTCTCCTTTGCATCAAAATAAGTCAGTTGAGGTGATTTGGACATTTGAAAAGGATGCCTCCTGGACGCGTCCCTTTGAAGGTTTTTCAGGCACTTCCCACCGGTAAAAGAAAAGACTTCAGGGCAGACTAAACACTGGAGGGATTGTATATCTTATCTGGCCTGGGAAAGCCTCAAGATCCCCCAAGAGGAGCTGGAGAGTGTTGGAATGTCTGGGTTTCTCTTTTAGACTGGTTGCCTCCATGACCAGTCTATGGAAAAATGGTAGAAGTTGAAGATGGAGAAAAAACACAAGTAGGTTTACAAATTTGTACTTTTGCATTTTTCTTTCTTTCATTCAACCGTTATTTATACAGGATAGTCTCATGAAGCCTCAAGGACTTGATTTTAACAAATAATGTTTTTAACAAGAATTTTGTCAGTAGAATCGATTGGATAATCAAAAATAGAGATTTAGTCTTCCACCTTGTTCCCCCCCCCCAAAAAAAACAAACAAACAAAAAAAAAAACATGAGCTAACAGCAACAATATGTTGTCATAATAAATTAGAATTAATTTATGTAAAGCTATGTCTGTTATATTTAATTCACTAAACCTCCATCAGAGCATCCCTGTGAATTAGGCTCAACTCAGGTGTCAATTTGAGCGCACATCCTCACACATCAGCCTTCTTTCCCCTCAGCTGCCATCCCACGGCCTCTTGTGTTCATGGTGATTGACAGCCGTGCGTGATGCAGCGCAATCTGAACATTTGTTTTCATGAATCAGCGAACGTGTTGGTTTTCAAGTTTTAGTTTATTTATTTTCGTGAGGGTGCTTTAGTTTCCAGTAAGAGAAAGATGAAATGAGGGCGAGAAGAGGAAACAGGCAGAGGTGTTGATTAGGGGGTGGCTGGAGGAAAGAAAGCACAAGAGAAAGAGAGAGCAACACATGGTAAAAAAAACCCAACAACATTGTATTGGTTAGACTAATAAATGAGACTTTTATTCAAGAATAAACAAAAAAAAATTAAAACACTTACTGACAATCCCACCAGAACTTAAATATTTCTGTTTATAAGAATATGTTCCTTTAGTTTTTTTTGTAGAAAATCAGAGGTGGACAGTAACTCTGTGATGCTGCCAGTGAAGACCCCTGCAGCTGCTTCAGGGTGGAAGCACACATTTCTCTAGAACACCACTGACATTTTCCAAATGCAGTCATCATCAGTGAGGGGCAGACACGTGAAAACATAGGAATGTCCTGGGCTGGTAAGATTGCTACTTAGATTAAAGGTGTGAATGCAAAAGAAAAGACTGGTGGATAACCCCTAATTTTATTAATAGATTACCCAATTTTTTTGAATCAATCTACAACCCAGATCAGGAAATGCTTTGATGTTGTGTAAAATGCAAATTCAATTAGAATGCAATGATTTGCTAATCTCATATTTTCTTTGCTTTATTTTTATTGGAACATAATAACTTATTACATTTTAACCAAACACATTGCCAGTTTAAAAGCCACTTTGAATTTTGCGATGGCAACAAATCTTGAAAATGATGAGAAAGAGTTTACATCTGAGAGGCATCCCCTCTTCTTTTAACAACAGTCTGTAAACATCATAAATATAAAGAGACCTATAGAAACAAGCTAAACTTCACCCAAAAAAAGACATCTAGAAGGGAGCACATGCTGTTCTAAAACATATAGTTTCTATATTATTGGTACCTTTCTAGTGTGTAAGCTGTCCATGCTAAAGGCACCAATGCACCCCCATATCGTCAGAGAGGCAGACTTTTGAACTGCGAACTGATAACATAATAGTAATAATAATAATAATAATAATTTATTCAATTTGTACTGCACTTTACATTTTACAATCTCAAAGTGCTACATTAAAAATATCTAAATAGAATAAAACATGGACTAAAAAAGGACTAAATATTTTAAAAGCAAAAAAAAAAAAAAAAACGCCAGCAGGATTAAAAAACCCTTTAAACACTATAAAATCTTTAAAATAAAAAGGTCTTCAGTCATTTCTTAAAACTTTCTGCAGTCTGAAGTATCCTTAGGGGATGTTGTTCCACAGACGAGGAGTAGCAGAGCAAAAGGCCCTGTCACCCATGGTGCACAGTTTTGTCCGGGGAGGTCGGAGCTGGTAGGAATTTGTGGAGCAGCGG